TTGGATAATTAATATTTATTCTCAAATTTTATTTTTATTTTATTTTTTCTAAATTTAATTATGCAAAAATACTCTTAAAAATAAATAAACACATAATAAATAAATAAATAAAACCAAAAAAATGAAAAAAAAAGAACGGCTTAGTTTGACGGTTGCAGAACGGCTTGGCTTAAGGCACAGACAACAGCTAAAAACGTGACTCAGGGGAAATCGGTTAGGCTTAGCACCAGGGTCTGTAGAGCGGTTGAAGCGGGTTAGCGCTATAGGTCGGGTCACCCGAATAAAAACGTGCGGATCCTAATGGGTCTCTTAATGCCAAAACAGCGTCATTTTGCGATGGTATATAAGCTCAAATCTCAATTTTCACTTAAAAATTCATTTTTCCTGTCTCTCTCTTCCTTTTTCTTTTTTTTTTTCTCTCTCTCTCTCTCTCTCTTTAACCGGATAACTCTGGTTGAATATTAATCGAATTCTGAGGAATGCAGCCAAAATCTAGGTTGGTTCATCGGATGATCATAAAAAAATTCAAACGTCGTCGGAATCTTCACTGGATTTTGGAAACCTTGCAGAAAAATTTAATCGGTGTCGAAAAATTTTGTCGAAATCTAAAATTTCTAGAAAAAATTCCAGAAAAATCCTTTTTTTAACCTAAAAAAACTCTAAAAAAATTTTTTTTTTTGCTTTATGCTTTTCTCTCTGTTTTTTGTTTATGTGTTTCTTGTGTTTCTATCTTTTCTCTTTGTGTTTTCTTCTGCTCAATCTGTTTGTGCATTTATAGAATGTAATTTGAGAACCCTAAACTAAAAAGGATTTTTAGTCCTTTCTAAGTTTTAATTCCAACTTTTAATCCCACTTAAACTCCTCTTATTTTTTTTCATTTTTTCAGCATTTTTTTTATTTTTTATTTTTTTTATATTAACAAAAACAAATGTAGACCTTTGGATAGATTGTAGTGTCTACAACAGCTAGGTCTTAAAATTTTTGACTCTTGATGGTTTTGAAAAAGTGAAGCTTTGCTTTAAGCAATTCTTGTTCTCTTATATGAATTATTCTGAAGTGATGTTTTTCCCGAGAATGTCGATTCCATACATCTTATTGATCTCAAAGAACCTTTCGTCTTGCAAGTTTGCTTTATTTATTTATTTATACATTTGTTGCTTATTTGAATATGTTATCTACTGGAACTTGTAATTTTAGCTACATAAATCATAATTTGGTTTGATATTGAACATGCTCTCCCTTGATTCACTTGTCCATTTAATATTGACAAAAACTATAGAAATCATCGCCACCCTCTAATTGAATGTCCAAATCTATGATGCTGATGTCTATAATTTATAGGAGAAAAAGTATGATTTATTGGGGGCATTGTAGACAAAGATTGGATGATTTTATAAGAAATTGTCTTGGTCAACTTGAAAGATTATTATTAGATTTCTTTTTCTTATTTTGATGCATCTACCGGATATGCGAGACATAAGAAATTTCTATGATGACTTATTTTTTATAGTTATAGCAACGGCAAACAACACATTTGGTAAAAATGCTATATGCTATATTATCATATTGATTTTTAGGTATCACCGAGTTTTGTCACCTTGGTATTTCTAAATTATTGGCTATGAAAAATACATGTTGTATAGTGCTTTTCAAGCCAAAAGCAACTAGTAGTTTTCAAAGAAACAATTGGTTTCTGAAATAAACAATTAGGTTTTTGTCGAAAATGTTTCAATGTCAGTTGTGCATTTGTGACTCCTATTGTGTTTGGGTTTGCTAATGTGGAACCTATATGGGTTTAGAGGTGCATAACATCTCACAAAAGAATTCCTTATTTATAAATTGGAGCACAATCTAAGGGTCACTTTACTCAAGGTGTTAGACCATAGCAAAATCAAAGAAACTTAAACTTTGTGAAATATTATGTTAAATGAATCTACCTTTGATGAAAATTCTATTTTTAGAATTCTCGAAAGTCATTGCAAGAAATGGGCTCCTGTCTGTAGAAAAAATAATGTTACCTATGTTAGAGATCAGTACAGCTCTGATACCGCTTATTAGAAAATCAATACACACGCAGCACCTACGTACAAAATAACAAGCTCAAATCAAAAATAAAACACACAAATATATTTGTTTTGACCTAACTCAAAATGGCCTACTCTAAAACCCAATCCACTAAAAATAAATCTTTATAACTGTAAGACTTTTAGAATTGAAAAGCCTTCAAAAACTTCTTACTCAAAACTTAACCCAAAATCCAATTATACCATTTTAATAACCTACTCACCTAGCTATTCTCTTAGTATCTAACTATCTGGGACTACTAAAATAAAACCAAAACATCTTATTTATAAGGGTGAAACCCCTTATACTTTTACTAAATTCTTGATGTGGGATATAAGACAAACTCAAAACTCTTATAACTTTTGATATGAGATTATGAGATTATGAGATTATGAGATTTAAGGCAAATCCCAACAACCTACTGAAGAAAAAAGCCATGGTAGAGTCTTTTACTTAATTAAGTTGCTTGCATTGTTAGATCATTAATAAGCATAAATATTATGTACAATCTAGCCTGGAATTTAAAAAAAAAGCTAAACCAAATTATTGAATTGATCATTTCATTTGAAATATTCTTATTTTGTTTAATAAGGCTTCACTTTTCATGTAGCAATGAACTCCTAATTGGTTCAAGTAACATCTTAGACAACTTAAGCAATGTCATTGTCCTATGTTAGTCTCACCTTAACATATTATATTCATGGATATCCCTATTGAACTTGCATGTGCATATATACACTCCTAAGAGAAACTTTACTTGAATAACAATTGTTGCTGGGTAGTGCATACAACGATATGCCTTATTCCATGTCTTAGGAAGCCTTTAGTTAAAATCATCTTTTACCCTTTTTTTTAATGTTTGATTTCGCTTGCATAAATACTTATCCTACATTGGTGTAATGATGTTATCAAATAACTATGTGCATGTTTCACTATCAGTTGTTACCTTTCTTCTTTTCTATTGTGGCTATGATGTTGCAAGTACTATATATTTAGACTTTGTTTGATACTTAATTCAAAAGTAAAAATTGATACTTTTTTTGTCACTTGGTTTTAAAAATCAATCGATTTTTATTTATTTACTGAGTCTTTATATAGTTTACTTGTCAGTTTTTTGACAAGGCTTATTCTTTAATATAGGGCAGGCCTTCATTTAAAAATTTGATATGCATAAAATAGATTAGTTTATTTTTTATATTTGTTTTGATTTTATTATGTGTATTATGGTTTGTTCTTATATTTGCTATTAATTATTTATTGTAGCTTCAAGTGACACAAACTTAACATCAACACAATCACCATCAAAACAAGATTTGGATTAAGAGCTTAAAGATAAGATTTCAATGACTACCTGTTTCATAGCTCTGATACTCTTTACTTTTTAAATAATATTATTTTTATATGATTTTAGGGTAAACTTTAAAGAATGTATTACATTTAAAAACTAATTTAAATATTTGATCGATTTGCAAGAACATTATATTGGATTATTCTACAAAAATGATTGTGACGATTTTATTTTATATATAGGATTTAACGACATTAATTATATCATCAAAATTATAACAATTTATCTTTCTTCACTAATATATCATATTTTATTATTTACTTTGTGACGATTATATATTTCAATGATTTTTTTTTCATAAAAAGTTGACGAAAACTAATGTTACAAAAAAAAAAAAAGTATAAGGTGACTAAGGATGGCAACGGGTCAGGTCAAAGAGGATTTTTGTTCGCCCTGAACTCGACCTAACATGAGAAATTTTTTTTTTCACACCTGAATTCAATTTACTTGATATTGTATAAACCGTATCCGATTCGATCCGACCTGAAATTAATAAAATATTATTTTTAAAATAAATATAAAATTAAATAAATATATAAATATATATAAAAAATTTTATATATATCGAGTAAGGTCGAGTCAGGTTTGCCTAAAACTTGACCCCGACCTGACCTCAATTTTTTTCTATAATTACTCGACCTGACTCAAAATCGATTTTTAAAAAAAAAAATTGATCCTATGAGATCGGGTCTTGTCGAAACTCGCCGGAGGCGGGTTGAGCTGCCAACCCTAAAGGTGATGCTTAATTTTATTGTCATGTTTAACATTATTTTATAATTATTGGTGATGATAACTATGTCATCAATATTATGACAATTTATCTTTTATCACTAATATATCAAATTTTATCATTTATTTTATGACGATTATAGCCTTTAATGATGTTGTTTTCATAAAGAACTGATAAAAACTAATATCACACAAAATAAAGCATAAGATAACGTATGATTTTATTATCATGGTAGATATTATCTTACAATCATTAGTGATGATAATTATGTCACAAATACTATGATAATTTAATTTTTGTCACTAATATATCAGATTTTATCATTTAATTTATGACGATTATAGCATTTAATGATATTTTTTTTATACATAGCTGACGAAAGATAACATCACAAAAAAAATAAAATATAAGGTAACATTTGATTTTATTGTCACTGTAAATTCATAATAAATGATGATATTTGTTATTGTGACATTAGACTTTTAGTGACGGTATAAACGTGACGAACATCGTAATATTTAATTTTTTGTCACGAAATATATATGATGATAAAAAAATAAATATTTAATGATATTATTTTATATGCCATTAATGACCAAATTTGTTATAGCAACCCTATTGCAAGAAGTATTATTATAAGGCTAGTTTACCGCAGTAAGTCCTTATATTAGCAAAATAGATAGAAGGAATATACCAACTAATAATTCGGTGTATTTCACTTATAAATTTTTTATTATAATTTTATAATTATTTAATTATAATAAAAATTATATAATATAAGTTTCATCTAAAGCGAAACCAGCTATAGGGAAAAAGAGAAGCCAAATAATAATTTCAATGCGCAAAGGTGGCCAAGCATTGTAATAGGTCGGGCCAGGCACTCTTGTATAAGATTGTTAAAATTTTTGAGGGACCGAGACATCTACCTGCCCTGGCTATACCTCTAGGCTTCATATAAAATTTTGATGAATCTTATATAATTTTGAATTATGATCAGTTAATTTTAGTGTAACAACTGTAAGTGAGATCCTCTCCAACCAAGTGTTGAGAAACAGTTCATCAAATATATATGCGACTCTAAAACCATTGGTGCCCTGAACCAGTGATTCATGTTTCATGGTAAAGAAGCCATCAGGGGACAGCACACTGGAAGTCTGGGACATGTATTTTATTTCGTAATATTTGTCCATGTCCATGAAACACATACACTAACAGGGGAGGTGCTAATTGAGAAGGTGAATGTACAAGACTTCAGTGCAGTACCATACCTTTGATGGAAATATTTACAATAGGGCTCTAACTTCTTTTTTTACAGCTGAAGCACCAGCTCCACCAGAAACAGATCTCCATCAAACCTAAGCCCGGCTCCTTCTGCAGGCTGAGGTAATCCATCCACCATTCCACCATACACATATAAATAACGCCCTGAGTTATCCACGCAAGCTTGGTGAAATGATCTGGACTTGGATTTATAGCCCTTAGCTTTAAGTCTCCTCCACATGTTTGCCAACAATCTCTTTGAGCTCAATCTAGCTGGCTGCACTCTTTCTAATGATATGGCACTAATATCTAATATCCAAAAGTCATCCTTCCGGTGCCTCTGTGAATCTTCTCCTCCATGAATTAGCAGTCGTCCTCCTAAGATGAATGTAGCTGAATGGCCAACTCGTGGGAGGGAAACTCCTGCTGGTATGCTTTGCAATTCATAAAATATTTGTGCCCATTTCGAATAACCTTCAGACATATCCAAGAGCCAGACATCATTGAGCACCTCATAACCCAATCCTCTCCCACCGAATAGAATTGTTTGTGTTTCCGCTATGCGTGTCAATGAATGTCCTGAACGAGCAGGAGGTGAGGGATGAATCACAATCTCATGCCATGTTCCAAAACGAAGATTTTCTGAGAGTTCTACAACCCATGTATCACCCAACCTGACGCCATCTGGACCAATTCCTCCATGAATGACCATCTTCCTGTTGCTTATGCAACATGCGGCATGAGCTCCACGAGGAGTTGGTGCTATTGACCCCACATCTAGCAGCCTCCATGACAATGAGATACCAAGGCTCTCGTGGAATGCTACTTGCCCCACCCATGTATCACTGTGACGATCCCCCCGGTCATTGATTCCTCCAAACAGAACAAGATAATTTTCAATGACAACACATGTATGCCCAAATCTCCCACTTGGGATACCTGAATGAATCTTCTGCCACTTCAACATCCTCCGAGAATTATTACCAATGTATGCAGCCCAAGTGTCATCAAGATGGCGTCCTAATATGATGAAAAGAACACTCCGAAAAGTTATGATATCAATGAGATAACTATACAAAGAAGATTTCTAAATTTTAACTAGTTACTAAATACGAAACCAGTTGGATGATAATTGTGTAAATCTTTACTTAATTATTTGCCAAATCACTGGCCATAACTGCGCTTCACTAAAGATTACATTTCCAACATATGAAAGGTTTCTATCTTCCCAAAACAAAGTAAAACAACGGATTGTTCAAAATGTTTTGTTCACTGAGGGCTCCTCATATTTGTTAACTTTAGCAATCTTATACCATGAATCTTGTATCATTCAAACTTAAGAGTGATGATATTCTTCCAACAACTCCTATGTTGCTCGAATTAGTGTATGCTCCTTGCCATCCATAGATAGAAGCAAGGAAATTGGCAGAAACGATGCCATCTTTGGGAAGTTCACATGCCACCTTACAATTTCATAATAATCAAGAAGACCCTAATTGGTCCATCTAGGAATTTTTAAATTGTCAAAATGACTTCGGGTCTGTCACTCAAATGCCTAGATCTAAAAACAGTGGTTGCTTCTACAACTTGAACTCATGCTACTGCACTTGTCAGTCTAAGATTTTTACCATTACAGCAGAAAGTAGCCATCTATAACAGGCCTAAGCAAAGTGGCCATAAGATTTTTACGGTTACAGTAGTTTGTGTTCTCATCATGTATAAAACATCATGTGAAACCACCTCCTATCCAATAAATGAATTAATGCAATTTACACACATACAACACAAAAGAATGTAATTGGTCAATCTCCTCTGGTTTCCTGGGCAAACATTGAATTTGCTTATCATGTAAATAAATGTATCATAGTGATCTTTCTTGCAGTTAGTTTGCTTTGAATTCAGATTCTTACCATATAATACTGGCTACACATTGGTCCATGTTTGTCACCTCAACTACAAAATGTGTGACTGGTGTAAAAATGGATTAGGTATTTTTCTTGACTGTTACCATAAATTTTGGTACAATAATGGGGAATGGCTAGGCTTGCCTAGAACTTATATATATATATATATATATATATATATATAGTTTTCAACATTAGCTACGCTCTGCTCGTGAAAATTCGTGTTAGTCCTTCAGGATGATATCTTGCCTGTTACACTCGAGCACACATAAACCATTCAGAAAAGAATAGAATCAATTAAAAGTACATTATGGTGAAGTTACATTCATGAGCTGTGGCTAATTTTTAATTCCTGACTAGTGAAGTTTTTGCTCCTGGAAAGCTATTTAAATCACCCAAAACTGCAGGAAAAATTTATCACTAGAAAGTTGGTAGTATATGGTACAATCTTTTGCAAGTACCAGAACCAACTGCAGTGCTCCTGCAGTAATGATGTCCATGTTTTATGAAAAGAAAAATGCTAAGTTACTGTTTGGATAACTTAGTGCATGACTTTACGTAGAATGATATCATATGCAACAATTAGTGTTTCATTTCAGCAATTTATTCATTTCAAACCAATTATAATTTGCACTCTAACATTTGCTTTTACTTTATAGTAACTTTAAGAAAGCAAAAAAAATGTGTAACAGAAAGCAAGTAATAACAACTACAGAGCCAGACTTGATGCAGGCATCAATGCTTGGAAGATTCCAATAGAACTGTCCTTTTAGTATTAGTAAGCTTCCTGTTTAGCCTAGTGCCAACAAAATGATAAAAGAGAATGCCTACGAAAGTTAAGACAGATTCTAATCACGGTGTTCGACTTTCTAACTACATAGATCTTTGAATTCAATAATAAACTACCAAACTGAAAATTTAACCTGATTAATTAACGGATCCAGTTACTGGTGCTTACAGATTGTCTTTCTCTAAATTCAAAAAGAAATAATACATTAATTACAAATCTCTTTGCTTAAATATCATCTTAATCACTTTCACTAGGCGTTACTTAATATTTCCCTCGCCGATCCATATCTATAGATAGGGTGTCCATGGACAACCCCAAAGATTGGAAATTTAAAACAAGAAAAATTTTCCCTGAACACTCCAAATTTTTACTTGTACACCATTTCTATTGATAAATTTGATAAATCATGGACAGTTTATATATATATATATATATATATATATATTATAAGTGAACATTTAAAAAAAAAAAATCATTGATCTGGCACTGCCTGTTTAACATAGATGTACTTAACTATTATCAAATAAGAACTTAAAAAGAACCTTAGGCCAGTTGATATCAAAGCACCACATACACATTTTACAACAGAAACCCGTCAAAGAAAACAAGAGATATGTCATAGTAGGAAACATGCACCAAAGCTAAAGCAAAAGCAAAGATAGAGCTATATATTATCTGTACAAGTGACTGACCTCCTTCACAGCCGCCACCAAACAAAACCAGGCAACCAGACACAAAATTGAGAGAGTGAGAGGCTCTGGGACTTGGCAACATCAAATCAGGATCTGGGTCAGAGAGCTTGTAGCAACAAACCAAGTCAAGCCGAGAGACCTGCTTGTATAGCCTAATCCATGGAAGGAGCCGATGATCCTCATCACCATGACAAGAAGACTTGAGGGCATCTACAGCAGTAGTTCCCCAATCTCTCCTGCATATGGACTCCCACAGAGAATTAGAACTTGCCAGAAACCTGAATTTCTTACAAGTCATGGCAAAAGATAGAATTGACTCTATAGGCAGTAAAAGCAAGATTGCAAAAAGATCGTCTGGAGCCAAGTTATCAATAAGTGATCCATTATTGAAGTTGCTGGTACCGGCAGTGGTGCTGCTTTCTGCCATGGAAAAAAGTGGTGTGATTGCTTGGATTATATGGCTATGGTTAATGGGAGGTGAGTGCTCGTGTGGAGGGCAGAGGCCAGAATGCTCTAAAATTGGTCTGGCTCTTATTGTTATGGTTCATGTCAACGGAAAATGGCAAAATGCGGTGGGATTATAATTTGTTACCAAATGTAAATAAAAACACGCTGCAGTGATCCGCATGAGTGATACTTTAGGGTTGGCAAATGAATCAGGTCGAGGAGAATTTTTACTCTGTCCTGAATTATAAAATTCATATTTATATCTGATTCAAAATTTTTTTTATTTTTTTATATTTGAATTCGACGCGAATTTGATATTATATGAACTGTACTTTATTCGAAATTAATAAAATATTATTTTTTAAAATATAAAATATTATTTTTTAAATATAAATATATAAATATATATAAATTAAAAATTAAAAAATAATTTTTTATATAATATCGGATCGAGTTTATCTAAAACTCAAATCTAACCTGACTTCAATTTTTTTTTAATAATATTCGACCTAACTCGATTCGAAACTTAATTTAAAAAAAATTAATCGATCTTATAAAATCGGATCAAATCGAAACTCGTCGATTTTAAATTGGGCTATCAACCTTAGTGATACAATACAAAATATACAAAATATATATATAAATGATATAAATTAATTGAATAAAAATTATATATAAATTTTATAAAATTATAAAATTATATTTTATACTTTTATATAAGTTATAATATATAATTTTTATATTAACAAAAATTATGATTTATAATTTTTATATTAAATATAATATAAATATAAAAATAATTTATACATAAATTATTAATATTTTATTTTATGGAAATACATGAATGGACGGTAAGACGGTTAGATTATATTCTCATTTTGTCGGGATGTTATTGATGTTACAGGACAATGGTAAAATTGATAGGTTTTCTTGACATTTGAACAAGGAAAAACAAAAATTTTGCGCGTTTTTATGGTAAATTCAAAAGCATGGAAAGAGATGGGTGGGGGCCAACGAGGCCTTGGCCATTTGCGTTGTCCTGTTTGTGAAATAATGAGCTACAATCGGACGTGTGGGGTCTTGACATGACCTTGAAGTATTTGATTTTATTCGATTTTTTTTATTTCATTCAAATTTAATTTAAATATTAAATATATATTAAATTGAGATTAAATTTTAAATTAAAAAATTAAAAAATTAAATTGAATTAAATTATATAATTTTATTACTTTTTATATATTTAAATTTTATAAAATAAAATAATTATTTTGTATCTAAATTTATTTAAATATATTAAAAATTATATTAAAATAATACATAAAAAATTTTAAAAACAATAAATTGAATCAATATTCAATTTGAATAGATTTTTTAAATAATTAATTTAAATTAAAATTAAAATTTATAAATTTATAATATTACATATTATTTAATAAATTAAATAAAATTTAATTTAATTTAAATCGTTACCATTCTTACTTAAAAATAAATGAGTCAAGTTATATATTGTTTGAAAAATTAAATCAAATCCAATTTAATTTTGAACTGTTATGATGCATAATTAAATTTTCATTTAGATTTCATTATATTTTTCATGTAATGTGATTAAGCTCATCTCACTATCAATTAAATTCAAATACTAACTTTAATGATGTTAAACCAACATAAATTTATTATTAATTTTTTTAATCATAGCTACAATATATTTTTTATCAATTACAATTATAATAATTATTATTATTATTTTTAATTTTACCACAACTCACCTCACCATTCATCTAAATAAAATCTAATCAACCACCATTTCTAAACTGACTTCATCAATTAAGTTCGACCGATTCTAAATGCATTTTATGTTGGAAACTATGATTGAAATAAAAAAAATTGATAATTGCTTATTTGATTGAAGATAATTTTGAGTAATTTAAGTTTTTTTAGTAAATAAATATGCTTGATAAAGAAAAAGATTTGTTAAATAAAAATTTTAAGAAAAAATTTTGATGAATAAGTTAGCCTTTATACGATTAGTACTTTTGCTTTTTATTATTTGTTTTTTTATTTTCAATTCATTTTCATTCTTTTGCTTTTCATTTTTCATTAGACAACAAAAAATAAAATAGTTTTAATGAGCTTATAAATGAAGAAAATCTCAATAAGGTAAGGTACGAAAACACAAATGGAGTTATATGATATAAGGGGGAATGGATGTGTAAACATCTTATGAGGGCAAAGTGAAATAATCACAAGGGTAATATATTCTACTTTTAACCACGTGGTGAATTTTGTATTCTACGAATAAAACTAAGATTATTAGGCGTCTTTTTTATTTGATTAAAAAATTAGTAATTAGCAAATATTATGTGTAAATTTCAAATCATATATTATGTGTAAAAATATTGAAGAAAATCATGTGTTATACTAAAACCAAGATAACTTCTTTTTAAAGAATGCTTTGGTTATGTCTAAAATCAAAAGGTATACATATAAAAAAAAAAAAGTCAAAGACAATTATTCATAATAGAAAACATGTGGAAAATTTACCATGACATTATTCAAAATTTTTTGTGGTATTAGTGATTACAAAAAGTTAAGTCCATAACCATTAAAATTAAAATTACTTTTTCTTTATCAATTATTCATAATTAAAAATATTATTTAACTATTATTTTGCTTTTTCTTTATCGATTTAGTACGAGTGACAATTGAGCCAGTCAAGTTAGACCTAGATTGAATTACTTTGAATCGGATTATTCAAGTCATTTCATGTTTGAGTCATTTTCAATTTTAATAATTTTTCATTCCGGTTTTTCAATTTTGACATTCGGGTGGATTTAAGTAATTTTAGGTTCTTGTTTTCAAGTTCAATCAAGGTAGAAAGATCCAAAATTAAAATTAAGCCAAAGATATTGGATCAAAGTCCATTACAATTTGCATAAGTAATTAGGGTTTAAAATCCTAAGGCCCAAATTTATTGCGTTTAAAAGCCCAAGATCCAATTTTCACATTTATGGCCTAAAGCTATTTCTCTATAATTAATTAAATTTTAATAACTAAAGAAATAAAAAAATTTGAAAAAATTAAAGAAAAGTCAAAAAACAAAAAATTAAAAAAAAGAAGAGTTTGTGAAACTGACAATAGGTGTTGTTCAAGGCACCGCCTACAAGCTGAACAGTCGTCGACCAACCACCCTATCAAACACCCTTTGTCAGCTCCTAGCCTCTTCTACACATTTATCCAGCCACCTTACTACTGTCAACGCCTTTTGGTTGTAACAATCAATCCTTCCCTGTCAAGTAATTTTGCCTAAACCTAAAATGGGAATGGTAAAACTTAAAGAAACCGGTAATAGCACTAGAATTGTTTTGAAAACCCAATGACAATAACAAGACTCTACAAAGCCATCCATTGCAATAGAAAATCTTGCAAGCTTTTCTGCCACTGCTGATACCTTGAAACCTCACCAACCCCTAAAAATCTGGGATTTGAAATCCCAATTGGCTATAAAGGTTTAGACCAAAAATAGTGTAGAAAAGGCCAATTTCAACAAGTAAAACCTCTGGCTACTTCTAACCAAACAACCCCACTTCACCCATGAAAACCCATCAATGCCTTCAACCCTCTTGCTAAAAAAAATCCCCAAAACCCCCACCACCACCATTAAACTGTCTTTCCTTAGACTCCAAAACATAACCCTCCAGTCAAATGATCACCCCTTAAAGCCTACTGTAGGTTAAATCACAACCCCAAACACCAAATAGACCCTTCAATTGTCGGCTTTCACTACCCAATACCCTTTTAAATTAAAACCCATCCCACAACCATAGAAACCAAAAAAAAAAAAAAAAACACGAAAAAGCCTAAATTACCAAGACTAACAACTTTCCAAAAAGCCAAAAACAACAAAACACAAAAAAATATCATCACATATCCCCTAGTAGGGAACATTAGTGTCAAGAAAATAAAAAATATATATATCAAAGCACAAAAAGGGAAGCTTCAGCTTGGAAGAGTTTTGGGTGGTTTCAAACCTCATTTTTGTTAAAGAAGAAGGTATTGGGTAATAGAAGGACATACTAGGAGAAGGACCGATTTGGAGCAGCGGTGGTCGATTTTTAAGTACTTGACAGCTACTATTTATGACTCAAATCTAGAAAAATCCAGAAAGTTTTTGAAATATCTAAGTTAAGAAATGGACAAAAGACAAAAAAAAAAAAAGAGTTGATGGATAAATTTTGGAAGTATTTTGAGATCGATCACCGATGGCAGATGACAGTTGGCGATAGAAACTAGGTTCAATTCCGACGGTTGGGTTTTGTTTTTGAAGAATAGATAGCAAGTTTAGATTTTTTTCATAAAAGGTTGAAATGAATTTGAAAAAAAACATTGGTTTTTTTCAAATTATCGAGTCAGGCCTAAACCAATAAACCGAACTAGATCAAATTAGCACAGCTAACCAGATTGACACTAGCCAGGCTCTGACCCGAATCAAACCCACCTCAAGTGCTCCAAACTAGTTTGAACTACTCAAACTGCCATTAAACCAGTAAAGAACTGCTCCGGATTGTAGAAAATAGCCTTGAACCATATCAATAGGTTGAACTGCTTCTTAGACCATTGACCAATGTTAACCAGTCCTTTTGGGTAATTTTTGTTATTTATATATATTGTCTTAAGTTATTTATTTGCTTATTTATACATATTTAATTTTTAAAAATTTTAAAATATATATATACGTTTTTTAAAAAAAGCATTCATTAATTTTAAAAGAAAAAATTTTTAAATGGGAATTTTTACGATAATGAGATTTTAAAGGAATCCGCATAGTATTCCTATGAAATCTTTAGGTGAAATTTTTTTTTAAATACTATCATTATATTGGAGTATTTATGAAAAAAAAATTTCAATATAAAAAAAATCCTTTTTCTTCCATTAAAAATGTATAAAATGTGGAAAAAAAAAGAAAAAGAGAAAAATTAATAAACAAATTTTTTTTAAAAAAAAGACAAATAGTTTTTGAAAAAAAGTAAATAAAATGAGACAAAATAAAATAAAATAAAAAGTATACATGTATGCATAAATATTATGTTTCATCATTTTCTTTGCATCAATATTATTCAATTATGAAAAAAATGGATGTGAACCTCCAAGTATGAGATTTTAAGGAAATCCATGCAATGATTCCTACAAAATTACCAATTCGCCTA